CGACCGAGACTGTCCGAGCCGGGGCTCGAACCGGCAACCTTCCAATTACAAGATGAACTCCCAACTCTTGAGCCACAATCGCCATGAACGCCATGTTTGGACTGTTAGAGGGAGCTGAGCACCCACAGAAAATGATACACAGGCAAAGGTGCTAAATGCAAACACAATTAGCTCAGGTAACAAACACAAACCCCAAACCTTCTGTGAGACAACAGTGTTTATCATATCACCTGCCCGCATTTAATATGATCTTCATCAGTCTAATACTGCGTTGGATTCATCTTGTAAGACTCCGATATTGAAATCAAATAAATAATTTTTAAAGCATTTACGAAGTCTGGTTTATTACTTTTACTTGGCTACTATTTACCAGTTTAAAGATTTAAGCATGAACCTTTGCTGTAATGCAAAAGCAGTAAGGGATGAATGTGTCAAAAAGCTAGAAAAATGTACGATAATCCCCAAAACTCTCTTCACAAGACAGTGTCCTGAGTAATTATCAGCCCATTTTTAAACTGTCACTCTTTGTTAAAGTTTTAGAAAAAGTTGTTTTAAATCAACTTTTGTCTTTCCTAGATGAGAACAACATTTAGTCCTTTCTGTTAGGTGTCAGGGCCGTTCACAGTACTGAGTCTGCTCCTTTAAAATGACAAATGATTCTCTTCTTAATCCAGATTGTGTTGATTGTTATTACTGCTGCTTCTGAGAGCTGCTTTTGACAATGTTGATCATGAGTTACTCACAGAGTGTTTGGATCGTTGTAGTTTAAGGTTTAGGTCTAAATGGGTTTAAAGCTTATAACAACCACTGGACATTCTCAGTCAACATCAAAATACTCTGCATCAGCAGTTATGATCTCATTATTTGAAATTCGTTGGGTTTTTTTCTTTGCATAACTCTTTTCACTGCTATGCAGATGACTTACAATTATATTGACCTCAGATTTTGGAAATGTTTACTCTGTATGAAGGTTCAGTGACTGAATATTTTAAATCACAAAATTGAAGTTTCTCACGATTACACAACATTTTTTGTTTGTCCCTTAGCTGAGACCTAGAAGGTCAGTCTGGGCTAAGACTGTCCTTCTAGGACAGTACAAAACATAAATTCAATGCTATACTTACATTTAATGATGACAGTAATGGGTGCTGTTGCAGTAGAACTGAATGTCCGTGTGGACACTGTGACTTCATACACACAGCTGTAGTTGCCTTGGTGTTCATACTCAGCTACAGGGAAACTAAAGGAGGCTGAGTTGTTGATTGCTGGCTTGCTGTCTGTGATGTTGGAGTCAGAGAAGATGAGGATGAATCGTCCACTGGAAAATGTGGAGTTAATGGAGCAGGTGAGGACAAAACTGTAGCCTCTGGTGATCTCTGCACCTTCAGGACCCCAGACCAGACCTGCACCAGGAGAGGTCAGGGAGATGCTGGGTGTCTGCAGTCTCACTGGGGAATAAAAGGTACCAGGATTAAGAAGG